TTTGTTTTGGAATTGTCCCACATCAGAGAAATTTTGATTCAAAAGATGGAAGAACAAAAGGATGGAGTAAATGACGTCATCTACTCCAACATTTTTTGCCCAAATTATTAAGGATTTGTATCAATATCTTCTTAAAATCTGTTCCTTCATGGTTATTAGACCCATATGGATAGTTCTATTTGATTTCCAAGTCTTTTCTTACTAATGTTTTGCAATTTTCGTCCAAGTAGCCCTTTATAACATGATCAAGTTAATTGAATTTCAATTCATTGTCTTACCATGATGAGCAACCTCAGGTGAATTTATCTTCTCCATCAACAGTTTAGCAGACAATTCCTCAGGAATAGCTTCACCTCGCATTAGAACTTCYTGGGCCTTTAGTCCTTGTTCTGTCTGCATTTCAATTGCCATATTCAGCACTTCCATACCTGCAATACAAAACAAAAAAAATTGAATCATAATCTAGATCATATTTATGTTTTATTGAGTTAATGAGTTCAACTTTACAGTCAATCATTATTGTGCCTTACCATTGATAAGTTCACACTTCCATATTTTTGATAGATTCTTGGCCAAGGTTGTTTTGCCACAGCCCTTTACACCAAACAAAAACATAATCAAATTAAGTCCAGCTAGCATGGCAAAATCACATTAGGGTAACGTAGCTAGAGCATGATCTAATACTAAGTGACATTTAATCATTAGTAAGTGTTTTCCATTGATTTCTTCTATCRTGCTGACAGACATCATGTGTCAATCAAAATTCAATGATTCAGCGTGACAGTTACACATAAATAGCAAATCACATAGCAAACGAAAGATGGACTAGTTGAAAAGGCAAACCAAATATGATACAAGCAACCACATAATACAGGATTTTGCTAACAGATAGAATGATGTCCATACAGCTTTTGTTAAATGCAGGTTAAAACTAATACATGTAGTTTACTACTAGTAATTAGTTGACAGTGCAAAGAATAGATGGATTGGTCAACAGCTGTTAAGATTAATGGCATACAGTGTATGGCTATATACCACCAACTCTGTTTTCTAACTACCAGGAAAGACAAATTACTTACAAATCATTATACAGGACATATGTACACGTACACTGTACGAGACAGTTGTGCATCAGGTTTACTCACCGGTTTTCCAATAATTATGAAACAAGTCGGCTTTGAGTTTAGATATTGTCTTTCTGCCTGAAATACAAGTACCATTTATAAGAAAAATCTTTCCGGATGAGCGTTAAAGTTTAATGCAATATCAAGCTTTTYAAACTAAATATTTTGAACCACTTCTGCAAAACAGAGAAATATCGATTGACACARTAGCTGTATGTTTTGACTCGCTGYCCTATCAATAATTCTACGAATTGTGGTTKAAAAACACCGTTGTGAATAAATTCAAAACCCTRTGCTATCTGAAGAAAGTCAAATACTCAAGTAAAAATAATAATTTAGTTGAAATCAGGACAGCCATTTTACGACAATTTGAAACGTTGATAGCAACTTTCGGAGCCAGCGAAATGGTGGCATTGAAAAACAGATTTTAGAGCGAGAAATTGCAGTAAAAATACAAYACCTTGTCTTCGTTGTAAGGATCCATATCTGAAGTATCCAATCCGTTAGTATTTTGGATATTTGCTGATATATAGTTATGTTTTTAGATATTTTTGTACCGAGTACTTTACTCCATGTCTATCTTTGCAGTGCAATCTGGAGCTTTTCTGGTTAGTCGTCATGGTAACACCATTGTTTATCGTCACGACCGTGAAATGGAAGACTAGGTCGAGCTCAGAAATTTTCGCAAATATTTGGAAATATCGGTATAAAACAATGCTGAATTTTGGATATGGCTTTTTATAATGAGAATGGCATCATTTATGCATTGTTATTTGTTTTTTTAAACTTTTTGTATTTTATGGAATTTCAAAAATAACGAGTAGAAAGGCCCTGGACTGAGGACGTTGTATTTACATTTGGGCTTCCTGTGCTCTCACTATGACGTCATAATTAGTTGGAATTGGAAGAATAACCGTATTTTTTGCAAACGCCGTGTGACTTTATCAAAATTTGTTTTTTATTGTCAAGCTTTAGAGTTATCTTGGAAGAGAGGATTCGAAATGTTCATCGTCGTTCGTTATGGAGGTTAGATAAGCCACATRCGAATTTGTTATGTGTACGTAAAACAATATTATTTTCTCATCATATTTCAGCATTCAAATTCTTTCACTCTTTCTTCTTTTTTTTTCAGAAAATGAGCAAAGTCTTTTCAATTTGAACTGTCGAACAAGAGTTCTGTACGAGAATATCAAAGAACGATGCGACTGTGACTCAGAAGGTAAATACTGATAATATTGCATTGAACTATTATGGTGTACAGCCTCCAAAACCATCAAAACAAAAGCATATATATCTAGGCGTTTATCAGTGTTTGACTAAAAAAGATCTGAATATGATTATCATTTTTTCAAATCAATTGTTTACAGATAATTATCAAACTTTTAATTAAATTACGCTATGCGCTTTATTGCTCGGTAATTGTAGCGAGATTTATAAGTATTGTACAGTCTGAGTGATCTCCATTCCAAGGACTAAAAGTTTGATCCTTGATCCCCAAAACAACRGCAGTTTTTGATCCTTGGATCCTGTCAATCGGGGGCGGAAATAATTGTAATTTTTTGGGGAAAAAATGTAAAAATATACGCATGCGCTTTTGTTACTCTATCCAGTGTTGTATTTTAGCCTTTTTTAAATTGMCAATTAGCAAACATCATAGATTTCTTTGTCAGTCTCATGGTCTTTAGATTATTTTATACACCTTACAGTGTCTAGCCGTGTTCTCTAATAATTTAGTCTACAGTGTACCACTCTGTTATGCACTAGTCAATTGAAACCCCCTTCCTCCGACCCCCGGGGAATACCGGTGAATTTAACGTTTGAGTGGTGTTAAAATAAGACATTTTCCCCGGTAGTCGGGGCACATTCGTTATTAAAATCCCCGCTACTGTTGCCCCGTTATTTTGGTCTAGTAGTAAATAACAAAACAAACACCTTTCAACCAAATTTTCTGTGATACACAGGGTGAATTTTTGTATAATCCCGTGTACTCATTTGCGTACTACATGAGGCTAACTGGACGGAGAAAAACATGTGTAATAAGTTTCTTTTAAAAAAATTCATGCAAGGAAAAATAAACAAATTAAAAAGCGGGGTTGAATATACCAATGACTGTCTATACCAATACCTTCAGTGTAATTCTCAAGATGGCCGACCTCTAGTTTCCAGCCTTATGATGTTCCGAAACGTGCGTTAAAATACCGCTCTTTACCCCGCTTCGAAAACAGTTCATMAAAATCCCGACTCCCGGGGCAATCTTGCTGTTCAAAACGTGTCATGTCCCCGTTCAATGCGTTAAAATACCGCCCCGGGGGCGGGGGTTTCAATTGACTAGTGCAGTACTCTTGAGATTCCTCGACGTTGACGCCAGCAGTCCGTAAATTTTGATGAGAAACCTCATCCTCCGAAGTCTTGGGTGACTCATCATATAGTTCGTTAAGTAATTGAAGTAACTATGCCTCTTTGACTATGCTTTAACAATACCAAGGATTTGTCATGTTATACGATAGATTGTATAGACCTAGCAGACGAGAACGGCGTTCTGAAGGGCTTCCCTGACCGTCTTACAGAAAATGAATATGGATGCGAGTTTCTCACAAGTCGAGCTTCGTACATTCTTCTACAAATACACTTTACGACAAGTAAGTACTAACAATCTGCAAAATAACTAAGGAATCTTAAAACAACTGAAAAAAAAATTACACTCATCACCCAGAACTAGAAACCGATGTTCCCCTTTCCACTATTCAAAAAAAGTTTTAAAAATAGGCGCGTTAAGCGACAATTACACTGGCATGGGTTGTGATAAATGAACTAATCACTTTACGCAACAGATATAATTTCCCAAACAATTGAAGCGATCAGTCTTTTGTTGCGTCGCCGTTTCGATGAATCAATGTGAAACGAGAAAACATTGCCATTGCGATTCAATTCCTTCTCGGGCCCCCAGTAGGAACGGCTGTTATAGCAGGCTAGATAAAACATTGTTCTTAAATATGAACAGCATGCATGTTACACTACAAGGTGTTGTGTTTTGTTGTTTTTGATGTTTATGAAAATATTAAAAGAATTCGTCGACAATGAAGCAGCGACTCTATTAATTCGTGCAGCAAAGCATGATGGGAGTAAAGATTTAAGACGGTGTGCCGCCGTGAGTTGAACAGCAAACTTGACTGACGTTTTCATTTGTGTTATTTTTTAACAGCAAAAAATGGGGTCACCAAATCGTACACACCAATGCTGAACGGCGTCTCAGAATCAATTCCTGACTTTATGTGTAAGTAGTCTTCTTTGTCTTTCAAGGTTGTAAATTTGATGTATATATGATGTAAGTGTCCAAAATGATGTAAATTTGATGTAAATCGTTTCCATCAAATTTACATCATTTTGGACACTTACATTATACTTCCATCAAATTTACAACCTTTATGGCGCGCTATTTTTTCCAGTGTTTAGGGTGGAGGTGATCATCGAAAATTTTACGGATATATATATATATACCCCTAAACGATATCAGGCTGTTACGAAAAAGGGCGTGGCAACACACAAAATAAGACAATAGAAATGAGTAAGCAGACTGACGTTGTTGTTTTCTATTCGTATCTTAAGAGGACATCCTAAAAGAACCAGATTATCCGCATGTGGTACGAAAACCTTTAAAACACCCAAAAAGATGCCAGATCCCTGGTTTTAACCCCTAAAAGATACGACGATCACCCCTCTCCCCCCCCCCCGGACCAGAGATACTATAGATAGTGACCGACAAATAAGAATATACTCTTAACTGCTCTTACCGCCTTTACATGAATGCGGAACTTCAAGAGTCTGCATTTTCACAAACGCTGATAACAGACGCGCAAAGAATCATGAGTAGCCTAGTAGTTAGATAAACCCCGCGTAAAACATAAATACCGGATGGTCGTCCTCTCAGTGTTTTTTTTAATGTCCACCACAGGGCCACAGGGTTAATATAGACGTGTACGGGAACCCCGATTTTACGTCGCTATCCGAGAGGACGTGACTGATCTAGCCATGTTGCAGATGAAGAATCTGAGAAGCAGCAACTTCTCCTCAATTGTTAACCCTGAGTATTTATCCGTCCAGCTAGGGAGCGATCCTGCGAGCTAACGCTCAAAAGCCCAAAACTCTGCCACTTGAGCTAGTCGGTTGTTAACGACACGAATATGCGGAAGTAGCCAAAGTTTAGGGTAAAGGTCACCTAGCGAGGGGATGACTCGTCAATTCACACAGGCTAGTAGACGCGCACATTAGTTCATTACTTGTGTAGCTAGTGATGAGTAACTGAGGTAGGTCCTAGGCGGGCAGGTACACAAGCCCTGCACTCACCATTTGCACGGCAAGATTGTAAGAAACTATGATGACAATTAAGAACTGCGATTACACTTTTCTGACTGAAGTCGTTCCCCTAGCTGGGTCTCAATCTTACTCGGTCATAACGTGCTGTGTTTTTGTATTGTTCCCAGTGCGTTTTTTACACCATTTTTGCTCTCTTTCAGCAAAGCTATACAATAAAAAAGTCAACCCGGACATCGTAACCAGCGGACGTCCGTCAGCACAAAGAAACGTTGTATCTCCTCGGATTTCGGGCATCAGCAGGGCAAAGATATCGCTATCAAAACCACTCAGCAGGGGTACCCAGGGGAGAAAGAGTAAATCTTGAGGCCCCGTAAAAAGAATTGAATGATAGTGTTTTGTTTCTTTCGTTCTCATTGTTTTATAATAAACTACGGTAAAAGCTGTTGGTGGTAAAAGCTTCATTTACAACAAATCTCAAGATAAAAAGCAATGGCATAAAAATGCAANCCTCAGAGTGCACAGATGACAAATTTAAATCCACAGCATGATTTAAAGTTCCTTTCAAAATCCCTCCAATGCCATTTATGTTGATTCCATTCTTCAACAACGAAGGTCTTAGACGTAAACGTTGTACAAAAGCGCGTGTCACGAAACTTGACTGAGATCCTGGATCAATTAAGACTCTGCATAATATCTTCTGACCATCGTTAGAGTCAGCATAAACCAGTGCAGTGGCCAACAAAACTTCCTCCTTAAGAATAAATGATTGTTCCACAAAGGTAGAAACATTCGACGTACTATCATCAACAGACTTTGATGAACTTGAAACTTCGACACTTTCCTTGTGTAGATCATCGACATGAAGCGTCGGATGATGTTTTTTCCTGCACGCTCTACAGCTTGGCGGTTTTGGACATTGTGCCACAAAATGTTGCCTTGAGAAACAATTGAGACAAAGCTTTAAACACAAAATTTTAGACCTTCTTTCAAGCGCATCCAGACGTGTATATTCAGGACAATAGGACAAACGATGATCACTTCCACACAAAAAACAATTATCCTTCAGATTCTTTTGAACGGCACTAAAACACTTTACAGAAGCAGTTGAATTTGAAGATTTGTTTCCATAGTTGAATTTCTTTGATTTTTCTTCCGATGCCTCCAAAGCATAAGCGTGTTCAGAAAGAAAATCATGCATTTCCTTGAACGTAGGACTTTGGTTATTAGCAGTATGCTTTTCCCATTCAAAGCGTGTTTCGGAATCAAGCTTTTTCTTGCAAATGTAAACAAGCCAAGAGCTCCAGTGTTGAACAGGTTCTCCTAAATTACGTAGAGCTTGAATGTTTTCATCCATGACATTACATAACTTCCGAAGATTAACTGCATTCTTTTTTCCAATACTTTGCATGTTGAAAATTGTGTCAAAATGAGCCTCGCGTATATTCTTGACGTTCTCGTATCTTCCTTTCAATAAATCAATAGCAATAGCATAATTTGCATCATTCAAATTCAAATTCTTGACGAGTACAGCAGCTTCTCCCTTGAGACACGATTTCAAATATTGAAGCTTCTGAACGGGCGCTAAATTTGAACGCGAATCAACAGCACATTTAAAAGTATCGTAGAACTCCGACCATTGCGTATATCCTCCACTGAACGATTTCAAATCCAGTTGCGGCAGCTTTGCTTCACTCGCAGAAATCTTATTAGCAGAAAACAGATCCTTTAACGATTCTTGTTGTTGTGCAGTAATGCGTTGCAATGATTCCACTTGATTGTTCACAATTTCTTTAACAGCTTGCAATATTGTTGCATCAAACGTAGAACTAGAAGCTGACGCAGAAGTAGCACGCGTCGATTCTTCAGGAAAGTAGTTATCTTCGATAATATCAATTATTTCTTCGATTCCCGTACACTTGTCTTGAAAAACCTTGTATGAATAGTGAATTTCTTCAACCTCTTCGGTTGTCGCTGCTTCATTCAACAATTCTTCGAAAATCTGGTCATACCTTTCCTTATAGACTGACAAAGCGTTCTGTTTCTTTGCCAAAACTTTAGCGGTCGTCTTTACACTTTCGCCATCCTCACTAGTAACACTTTTCACATAGTCGTAAATACATTCTACTTGATACTTGATTCCATCCCTTTTCTTGATAAGTCGCTCCATACTCAATAACGCCAGTAGAAGAATTACTGAAATACGTAACATTTGCAGTACTTGAATCTGTCCATAGAATTATCCGGCTCGAAGGACCATGTTGTGGTTCAATTCAATATTAGACTTTATTGCTTGTAATTTCGGTTCATTCGATTCAGGTCGGGTCGGGTCGAGTCGTGTCTTTTTACCTACTTCACAATATTCTTCACTTGAATTTATATGATACACTTATGTTTACATAGAGTGATGCAATCGGTTGCATCACTCACGCTTATATGTCAAAACTATGTGATAATGCTGCGAGACTAAACACTGACCCTGTTCCAGAGAAAATTCGTTGAAATCGATACCCAGTTCCAGAGAAAAATAACTAAAAACGATACCTGGTTCCAGAGTAAAATCGCTGAAAACGATACCCTGGTTGGCAGCACGTCCCCGTATAGCGAATATAGGGGAGTACATCCCCCCCGGGTACACGAGTAAGCGGAAGTAGCCAAAGGTTGGGGTAAAGGTCACCTAGCGAGGGGATGACTCGTCAGTTTCACACAGGCTAGTAGACGCGCACATTAGTTCATTACTTGTAGCTAGTGAAAGAGTAACTGAGGTAGGTCCTAGGCGGCCAGGTACACAAGCCCTGCACTCACCATTTGTACGGCAAGAATGTAACAAACTATGATGACAATTAAGAACTGCGATTACACTTTTCTGAAAAAGTCGTTACCCTAGCTGGGTCTCCGATTACTCGGTCATAACGTGCTGTGTTTTTGTATTGTTCCCAGTGCGTTTTTTACACCATTTTTGCTCTCTTTCAGCAAAGCTATACAATAAAAAAGTCAACCCGGACATCGTAACCAGCGGACGTCCGTCAGCACAAAGAAACGTTGTATCTCCTCGGATTTCGGGCATCAGCAGGGCAAAGATATCGCTATCAAAACCACTCAGCAGGGGTACCCAGGGGAGAAAGAGTAAATCTTGAGGCCCCGTAAAAAGAATTGAACGATAGTGTTTTGTTTCTTTCGTTCTCATTGTTTTATAATAAACTACGGTATAAGCTGTTGGTGGTAAAAGCTTCATTTACAACAAATCTCAAGATAAAAAGCAATGGCATAAAAATGCAATCTACGCAGTCACGTGATCTAAAGCAGTTAAAAAACCCATTACAAATATGAACTTATTAATCTACTCACACAATAAGTGGGTCCAATTAGCGAGCACGAACAAAACATTGAACTGAGGAATCAAGGTGTATTGGGCATAAGAGAAAAGACCTGTCTTCATACAATGTAGTTCCTTGATACTTTGGTCCAATGTTTTTTTAATGGTGACTGYGCAAGGAAAGTCATGATTAAATTAAAATTAGTGTATCAAGGAAAAGAATTGATATCAAGAAAAGAAACTTTGTTAAAACATGTACTGTACATGGATTATAAATTACATTGTATGGAGTCGTTTCTTACATTGCTGCCAGCTTTCACAAGTCACTTTGAACACAACTTCCCTACATGTAGCTAATGAAAGACTAAACTATCAGCTAATAAGGACGATCTCTTCTCCCCATCCTAGGGGTCTGGATAGCTACATCAATATAGTCCCCTATCTGGAACTTCTTTGATTCTAGTGTGACAGCATCATCAGGACCTTTATGGCCAGCAGTRGTAGTGCCTATTTCTTTCACAATAAAACCCCCTCGCCTTTGATCTGGGAATACTGTAGCAAAGCTGAAAMCAGTCCCTCTTTGCCGTCCATCTGGATTGACTTCTTTCACTAAACTCATCAGTTCTTTGAGGGTAGCATCTTTCCTACAATACAAACACAGACTTTAAAAAGTGTACTAGTTTACAAAGGTTTAGAATGTCTCGCATGATTAGGTATATCATGACCGAACCTGTACCCAAACTAATACTTATCCCCATCTTCCCTAGTGGGAAATAGGGACGCGACAACCCAAACTAATAGCAAATTCAGAAGCATTTCTCAGCTTGGAAATCTTAATAACAGCTGTATATCAATGCATGACTTCTACATAGTCTTCCTGACTATAATGCTATGGAAGACTTTGCTATGAAGATTTCAAAATTATGTTTGGACAAAAAAATCCGGCTTGCATAGAATCTTTTATCTGATTCTAGAGGCTTTGCTTGTATAGTTATTGCTGAGCTGCACCATTGAGAGACATTTCTGTTTATTCTTTTTTATTGTCTATGCTTGAAACTAAAGGATGCAGCGTTTAAAAAATAATAATCATGGCATGGTTTGACAGTAAAAACAAGCCAAGCCACTGGAACCAGGGCAAGAATCTTTCTGCTTCACAGTAAAGCCAGAGAAAATTCAGGAATAGCCTTTATCACCTTCCTCAGAACTCACCATGTGTAAATCTGCAATTCATTWGGTGGAAGACTTGATCGTGAGAACTCTTCAACCCTACAAACGCATAAACACTTTATGGTCAAAGAACATTACATGTACACAACAACGCACAATATGCCAATGAGTTTTACTCTATTTTGTGTATTTACAAACCAAAAACCAGGTGAATCAAAAATAATTCATATCATATTTTCATGCAAGTCACTATTTTTCATAAGACAAGCTACAGCTCTCGACAAAATGTTTGTAAACACCACCCCCTCTCCCCTRTCTAAAGTTGGGGTGCTCAAAAACTAGTACAGCCTCACAAAGAGAGATCCAACTTATATAATATCATAGCTAAATATTCGAGTATTTTGTCGCAAGCTGTCGTTTATACGACCTTGGAACGAAAGGTCTTTACAATCTTACCTGTGGTGCCGTCCTTGGTTGCAAAATACTCTCAGTAAAAGTGGACAAGTCTGCACAAAGAAACGAGAATAGTTACTATCGCATCAAAGAAACGAATCTTTATCTAAACGCTTTGTTCAAAACAGCGAGTTTTTAAACCGGCATGATTTGCACATGTCAGATCTTGCGTTATTCTTGTCATGTTTTGTACCTTTTCTCGGTCGATAGTCTTGGATTCTTTGGTATCTTTTAGATCTTCTCGCTCTCTGTTGGTTTTACTTGTCCTTTCACGATCTTTAGACGTCGATCTAGAACGAGAACGGCCACGATTTCTTCTATCTCGATCTGCCATCTTGGATTGAAAGACGCTTTGCCGGTTCCTTCTTCATGTAACAAGCATAGAATAGGCAGCCTGGCCTCARGAGAACAGGTATCCCGATTCATACTTCCCGAAAAACAAAGGGCTGAATATTTCTCTTTGCATTTGCAAAACTTATAATGTTATTATTTATTTTTTCTTCCTTTTATCTCCTGATAAGAAAATTGGATTTTTCAGTGGAAATTACTCCATTCCCGACAGCCCTTTGAGGGCTTCCGTCTTCACAACAGGACTAAAATGCTTGAAAAGTGAGAAGCCTTCATCAACGCTCATCCTGAACCTATGGGTAATCCAGTTATTTAGGCCAATGACGAATTAATGATGATGAATTAATTGCGTTTAGACCATATAAAATAAATTATTTTGTGATCAAGATTCTAGCGAAGATGAGACATGGAAGCTGTTGAAGAGCGCATACTGACAAACAGTTTTTCCAGTTTGTTATCAGTCTATTTTCGCATTTCAGACATCTGAACGCACGTTTAGATCAAAAGCATTTCTAGAAAGTTTAATACATTGTCATCAGGTTTTTAAAGTTTTAGTGCCGTCTTAATATGACTTGAAAAATTAACATGAATTCTCTAAATAAAATTGAAAAAGGTTTGATTTGAATATTTCGTCGTCTACTCCAATAATTTTTTATGCATGCAGTTTCATGTAAATATCTTTAAATATTCGTAAGACATTAATTTCGCGGGGGTTCTTCTTCGCAAAACGACTAGATCCCTCGGCCTTGTGCCGTTCCGCAAAGATGGACGACAAAAACAAGTTACATATGGTGAATACATAAGTAAGATTTATTAAATGCCCATTGGCTCTTCCCTCCTTTGTTTACATTTTTTTAAATCACAATAAACATCGCCGAAGACACAAACCCAGTCCCTCCGGAATTATCATCGGTGCTCAAACATACTCAAATCTGATTGGTCATCGAGACACGTGGGGTTTGACGTCATGATTACCATAACAATAGAACTTCACCGAATAGACTACCCCAATTAGGTATTAGATATCTATAAGTGTCTACATAGTACGATGGTCTAAGAGGGTAGCTAAAGGTATGCTCTAGTGGGTGGCTACCCCCTCACTCCCTGGCCTTTTGGTTAAGACTAAGTTTTATGTTCACTCGGGATAGCGTGGAAGAGCCGAAATCTCTAACCGTAACGTAAGCCGATTCGACGCCTCAGCTTCATTATAGAATGTCTCGGGGGAATCGTCCCATCTCTTTTATTTTTTCATTTCATATTATCGTGTTCATTCCGGGGGGTGCTTCCTACTTCTGTCTGTTTGATAGTGGTTCGAGTCTCACAGGAAGACTTTCTTTTTTTTATCCTTTGAATTCTCTTTTTTTGTTTGATTTCATCTTTTTCCCAATAAATCTCAATTAATCTATCATTCTGTATCTTTTCTATCAGTGATATAAAAAATTAGGAAAAAAAGAAAGTCTTGTCGATCGCTATATATATA